GCCCAGAGTCACACCCTGGTATAGCGCCACCATCTGGCAACAGAAAGAGTGGCTTTTTCAGCCATCTCAGCTCTAGTGCTCCTAGACGGTTCATCGGATTATTTTTTGATACGTTGAACAGCGTAGCCATGGGTAAAGGTTGAATTTGGGCACCTCTAAACAGTTTTTGACCAGTTTCACCAGTCTGATGAATGACAGGATGCTTAACCAATCAAATTATGAGTTGTAGCGTGGGGGTTGTATTGAGGTGCAACGTCATGGATGTAGCTCTTGAGATCCTTGAACAGCGGCCATGTTTGTAAAGGTGTTTTGAGCGCGTTAGCAGTGTTGCCAATTCACCGATTTTGGAGACATTTTGCATGTTTAGTAAAAAACAAACTCCTTTAATTGTGGTATTGTGTTAATTTGGTGATTAAGTCAGGGATAACTGCGGACTAACTGTGCCGGTTGGAACATTTTTGACGAGTCGCAGGCAAACTCAGCTTGGAGTCGCGGTGTTGCGAACTCACCCATGTCGGAAGGTATTTCGCATCCTTACTTTTATCAGAAGCAAACATCGTGTATAGTTAGTGATATTAATTGTGTAGTAATTGTGGTGTTGTGTTAATGTCATTATTGGGAGGAAGGTTGACGAACTGTCGAAATATTGCACATGGCGCAGGGAAATTCCGCTTCAAGTCGTGGAATTAGCTCCTCAAATGCATTTCACTATACATTTAAGTCTATGCATACGCCTGCGTGCGTACAGAGAAAATCTCACGGTTAATCTTAAAAAGCCCACCTGATCGTGGTACTACTTTTGGCAGATTGCTTGGTTCACGTAAGAATAATTCTGTTGATAAACCCGAGTCCTTTTAGCTGTTGCTATGACCGTGTAGCCTGATGTCATGATTAACAACACTGGTCGATTTAATCACAACATAATTCAATACGAAACACCGCTGTCTCAAACGAACACAATATGTATGGGTGTTTAGTTACTATCAAATTCAGACTGGACGATCATTAAAGCTAATATATTCAAAGGAACGATTAGCATGTTATGCTAGCCCACGGTGTGCTTTACGCTCCAGTATCTGACATCGCATTGAAACGGCTGAGGCTGTAACACTGTATTTGCTGGCTTATGTTAGCTGATTTAAAGCCATGACTTCAGGATATTGTGATGTGGACTGCTAAATTAGCTTCTATTCCAGTACACGACAATTGTAAATAATAGTCGTATGACGAGTCTGTTTACTGCATGTACTGCAACCAACCAAATAAAAATTCACAGTGGTTGTGTTCACATTGCAATTAACTTTACAATTTACGCACTCGCTTATGAAGGCTGAACTGCACAAAATGTTTAGAATATGAGCATTATGACTTACATGCCAAAACGATGTCCTTGTAGACTACTTGATACACAAGAACTGATACTTGCAATGTTTAAAAGTGTTTAAAACGATTTTAGGACATGCATGTTAAGTATGACAATGTCTTAAAATGAGATATGACATACAATTCAGCATCCTGCATAGAAATTAAGAAAATTTGTGAGATGCATATTTACACACCACACAGAAGGCGTTATGGTAATAT